ACAAAATGCACTTTATTTTATATCAACATTGCAGTCTGTGTAAGAATTTTTCAAGTTTCAGATTTGGACCTAATTTTGAAATGTACGTTACTTTTGACATGTGCTTTCCAGTTTGATATTTCTGAAAGGGCTGTCAAAATTTTTTGTGGTAAATGGGTTAAATATTTCTGTATATTTTCTTTCCTTTCCAGAAAAATCACTGTTTATTGTTTAATTTTCCAAATGAATATTTAGTAGTTTTTGATGATTATATATGTTTCAAAATAAATTTCATGATCAATTCAACATAAAAAATACTGGTACTTTCATCTCCTTGTGGAAAAAAACTTCCATCGATATTTCATGATATGTTTGTTTCTAAAAAATAACAAATATCAAAGAAAACTAAAAAAAAATATTTTAACATGATATGAAAGAGATTTTTAGAATAATGTTCACTTTCTGTTTGCCTTCTAATGGTAACGTACATTTTTCGAGCAATTTTTATTTGAGTAAAGGTCTATATTCCTTGTATCATAATTAAAATATGTTGATTATTTACGTGAGAAAACTTATACATTCCCCAGCTAACACAAAAACATTTTTAAAATGTTTATAAAACATTTTCAAAATGTTGCGAAAACATTTTTAAAAATGTTTTAATCACGTGATTTTGTATGGTTTTTTAAACGTTTTTAAAACATTTTAGTGAAATATTTCAGCAAAATGTTGTCAGAACATTTTCTTAAAATGTTGCAAAAACATTTTCAATAATTTTTTAATCACGTGAATTTGTATGGTTTTTTAAACGTTTTTTAAACATTTTAGTGAAATATTTCAGCAAATGTTTCTGGAACATTTTCATAAAATGTTACGAAAACATTTTTGAACAATGTTGTAATCACGTGATTTTGTATGGTTTTTTAAATGTTTTTAAAACATTTTACAAAATATTTCAACAAATGTTATCATAACATTGTTATAAAATGTAACAAAAACATTTTAATTTTTTTTTCACGTTTAATTTGTTTGGTTTTTAAAACGTTTTCAAAACATTCACGTCGAGGTTACAAAAGTATTTTTACTGAAATTTTACTTTTCTCATTAAATAATGACATATTTATATTTTTAAAGAAATAAACACAAATTATATTTTAATTTTTGAACCTTTAATACAAACCCATATATTCAATATGTTAATCACATTTAAATTCCATTCTCGGTACAAGTTTTGATTTTTTTCTTTCAAGTCACCGGGTTTTTAAAGGGTGAAAACGGCGTCTAATCCATTCACTGAATTTTAAAAGAACAGAATCACAGAAATCCTATGTTCACAGTATAGGTCGAACAGAGCGGCGGATCTATAAGACTTCGTTAGAATCACATACACTGAAAAGGCTGATAAGGAATCCGCCCCTCGGAACGAATAGCACATCCTGTAGAGATAAAGAAAATTGTGTTTGTATCAGCGTTCTACATCTAATCGATGATCAATGAAAATATGCAAAAAATATTTTAAATAATTATATCAAATTTACGTTCTTTCCTCATTTGCATTGAAAAAAGCAGAAAAATAATTACTATGACAATATTATTGAAGAGTAATAGTATTTACGTACACTTTTGCCTTCACCAAAGGCGGGTCTTTTGAATGGGGGAATTTGAAAATACGGATGATGCAATCAACACCATGCTGTAAAGAAATTTCATTTTTAAATCAACATATTTTTGATGATTTTAAAACAATCCACAAAGACAACGAATACTTGAATCAAGGATATAATTGTGTTGACTTAAGAATGAAATATTCAAATCAAATACATGTGTATTAACGCTTTGTCATTTCTTAATGCTACATAAATTTGTACAAACTAACAAAGTTATTGATCATGCACTGGTAGTATAAAAGTCATTTTTAAATGATCTTTTAAAGTCTATGATAAAGGAATAATTCTTACCATTCAAAGTTGATAAATCCCGAGGTTATTATTGTGGTTTTATGGTGCAAAGTCTTCTCATTCAAATCGGTACGGAGTAAGCGCGCACATCTTGTTTACCAAAATTCAAAATTTGGCCTAGATAAGCTGCAAACCACTATACTCTGTAACACGCTGCCCAGCAGGAAAATTGCATAATAGGTTATCATGACACTGAAACTGGCCAGTGTGCCAATCCCTATTTAATGCCTCAGAGTAAAATCCTGGGAGTGGATCACAGATTTGATGAAGAACATTTAACAAAAAATTAAGAGTTTTATCAAATACTTAGGATTTTTTTTACATTTATTTATATTTTAAATTTTGTGTTTGCCTATCCTTTCATTTGTTGATGACTTTATATATGTCTGTTTAATCAATAAGCCAAAACTAGAAATCATTATAAAATACCGGAAAAAACCTTCAATTAAAAGATTACTGCAATTCCTCGTTTCAACACTATTCTTTCTATATATTCTTTTTTTTTCTTCATAAACTAAATTTTAGGAAAATCGCAATCATACATTATTTGAATGTTTTAAGATCATTTTGAAAATAACATTAAAAAATGTTGCAGCAATGAAAATTGAAGTCTTTAAAAAAGGAAAACACATTAAATTAAATGTTCTAAAATTATTCTCACAACGTACTCTTGAAGTTAATAAATGAATTAAATTGTGCCGCAATTACATAAATGTTTCAGAAACATTTTGAAAATGTTTCAAAAAAATGTTACAAAAACTATAAATGTTTCAATTGTAGTGAAAATAATTATTTTAGCTAATGTTTTAAATAAACATTTTCACTGCCTAGGCCGAAAAATATCCGGAATTTAATGTTTAATTATAACTAACAGCGATATCAAGAATGTTTTAAAAATATTTTAAAACTTTTCCTTACATTTTTTTCAGAAACGTATAGGCAATGTTTCCGTTTTACAGAAAAAGAATGTTTCATTTCATGTTTTAAGAACGTTTTTAAAACGTTTTATAAGATCTTTAATATTTGGAAGCTATACATACCCTGAGAATAATTATAAGAAAAATGTTCCTTAAATGAATTCAGAATGTTTCAAAAACATTTTGACAACGTTCCTTCGAAATGTTTCAAAAACGTATTTATGCAATGTTTCAGATTTATGGAAAAGGAATGTTTCATTTCATGTTTTTAGAACGTTTTTAAAACGTAATATAAAAATCTTTGATATTTGAAAGCTAAACATACCTTTTGAAACATTTTAAAAACGTTTCAAAAATATTTTAGAAAAATGTTCCAAAAGGATTTAATCATAAGCTTCTTGAAAACATTTTTAAAATGTTTTTAAAATGTTATAAAGAGAAAAGGAAATGTTTTAAAAATGTTTAGTCTGAAATGTTTCGAAAAAACCTTTTTACAACACCAATAAAATGTTTTGAAAATGTTTTGTGCTACCTGGGTTCGGAATCTGTAAACTCTAGTAATTTTAAATTAATAACAAAAATCTATTAATTCAACCACAGGCCTTTAGATCGCTTAGAAAAAAAATGACGTGTTGAAAAAAAAAATAAAGGTATGGAACTCTTTTCATGGGGTACCTACTTTCGCCAATAAAATTCTTTTAAATCAAATGCTTTACAATTTTACTTTCTATTCATATCTATTCAAATATAAACAATCTTCATTACTACCAAAGTTCATTCCGTAATTCCTTATACTTCTCGAGATATTCTGAAATCAATTCCCAAATTGACAATAATTTTTTTTACTCGACATCAGCTTGGGCCTTCACTACTTGTAAAGTGGGAACGACGGGACAAAATTTCCCCGGAATTTATTCTAAACTCAATGAATATTTGCTCATTTGCATTTAAGCTTTAAAAAGTTTTTCTTTAATTTGATCATATGGTGTAACTAAGTCATAAACAACATTTTAGCGGTCTAATTGTTTTGAAAATCGAAAGGTATATGATGCATTCCGGGAAAAATTCGTTCTACCATGGCTTCATTTACTTTCATAATCAACATGGCGGTAGTTGTTGATGTAGACGTTTTCAAATTAATTTTTTGCGAAAGGAATATTATTACGGACTTAACGTTACAATCTGGAGAAAGAAATCAACTTTAAATTGTTGACAGATTTTGCAAATACTCTGCAACTCTTCGTCGCACTTCAAACACCGTCTGTTTACATGTGAATGACCCGGGGCCCAAGCTAATGTCGAGTAAAAGAAAGTAGGTCATTTTTGAAATTGATTTCAGAATATCCCAAGAAATATATGGAATTTCGGAATGAGCTTTGGTAGAATTGAAGAACGTTTACCTATGAATAGATTTAAATAGAAAGTAGAATTTTAGAGCATTAGAATAAAAAATATTTTATTAGCGAAATTAGGTACCCAGTGTAAGAGTTCAGTACCTTTATTTTTTTTTTACACACACAATTTTTTTTAAGCGATCCAAAGGCCTGTGATTCAACCAGGGACCTATATAGATAGTTTTCGATTGACCAAGAGTTACTTCCCGTTGGCCGCCATACTGGAGGTCCAAATGCTCATATTCCTTCATTGTTCAACCAATTTAAAATTTTTATATTTGCTATTTTGAATTAGAAATCATTATTTTTCTGAAGTATATAAATTTTTGGAAGCCTCCTTTATTTAAAAAAAATTATTTGATAAGGGATTTCCACCAAATATTTCTGCTATATTTTCTTAAACTTGGTAAGACAAAGAGGGAAAATCACTGAGTCGACCTCCAATATGGCGGCCAACGGGAGGTAACTTTCGCTAAATTCAGGCCTATCGAAAACTATCTATACTAACTAGTATATAGGTCCCTGCTTCAACAACTTTATTTTTTCAATGCACACTTTTATTGAGAATGGGTGCATGGCAAATATTTGAGAGCAATTTTGGAAAAGATCTTTAACAGATTAATTTATCATTTGACTATATATTTTTTCTTGGAAAATAGTTTAGAGAATAGACGAAAAACTGTTCCCTGGTGTTGCAAACATTTAGATCCGCCTCTATTTCCAAGACGGAAAAATATACTTACGCACGCATGCGCAATTGACTTGCCGCCATGTTTCATGGATCACAACATTGGAGGAAAAAAGAAATCTTTATGCGTGTATTGGGAACAATGATGTATAGGTAACACTTTGAAGGAATTCCATTAACTCCTGTGATTTCATCATTTTAAGAAAAATGGCGTGTTTGGCTAATTTGAAACAAGACATTAAATTCCTGGAAAGTGTTTTTCCTAAAGACCACAAAGTTTTCCAGATTTTGTCAGCCTCGGTTGATGAATTAACGTGTCGATTTATCAACAGAGAAGGTCGAAAATATGATGTTCACGCAAATATAATGGTAAGCTCACGTACGCAATGAGGCCTTTTGAAATATCTTTTCATTCAAGTTTTCATTGTGCAAGTCAGAAATCATGCGCAGTTTTTTTGTGTACACTGAAGTTCAAGTATTTCGTCACTACTAGACAGCTGTAAGCCATAACAAAAGGAAGTATATTTCCCCTTTTCACCCCTTTTCACCCCAAGTCTCGTATTGATTGTCTTATACAGAATAATTAACAAAATATTTTTTTAGAATTCAATGCAATTAATTGGAATTTTCAAGTTTATATTTCTTTAATTTAAATTATTTTGTAATATGTGTATCTTTTTTTTCTTTTCCTGCATGTTTGGTCTAGTGTTGAAGCTTTTAACTTTAACATTTTATAAAGTTATATGTCTGTTATTATATGAAGACACTTTGCCGTGTTGTTTTACCAGGAGACGTACCCTCAGTCAGCTCCTATCTGGTTCAGTGAGGACGATGATACCATTGTGAGCAATGTTATATCTAGTTTAAGTGATGCCCCACCAGATAAAAATAATGTGAGTATTAACTCAGTTTTAGATGAATAAAATATATCCATAATTCTCACAAATACAAATCAAAATTTTAAAGATTGATGGGTATTAAGTCAGCTTGTATCCTGACACTCACAATATAGAAAAGGAGAACTCAACATAACGATTTGTAACCAAATGGTGAAGTCAATTTCTTTCATTGAGCAAGACACTGGGCCCTGTTTTACAAAAGAACTTACAACTAAGACCAAAATTGAATTCTGTTTATAAGTTTCTTATTTACATTATATTGAAATGGTTTTAATCCTATAAAAAGGAATGTAGTAAGATAATTTCATGCTGACAATTTTAACCCTTTCAACACTGTAGACCGATACATCGGTCTGATGAAATTTTGTCTTGGAACACGGTAGACTGATACATCGGTCTCAGACGCTAAACTGAAAGTAAAACGTTTATTCTTAGAAATAGAAAGTGTTCTCTGCGCAAAATCTTTCTCTATGAATTATGGGTAGAATAATGTAAACATCCGTTAACAAATATGGCGGACCACATGGCGAAAACCACGAAAAAATAAGGAAAATTAGATGATTAGTAAAAAAAAAACGAAGAAGAAAGCAAAATGGCGGTAAACAACAAAATGTCCGATCTCTCTGGCGATGAAAGATTTAATAAAATCAGGGAATTAGACATTATAGATGTTTCTAGACAACGAAAATGTGAGTTATTAACAATGTTGTGAAATCTTGTCGGAGAAAGTTGACTCGGAATCTGAATATCAAGGCTCCTAAACTGAGGATGTTTTCCACGCCCCAGACTTCTTCCGATGTCCTGATACACCCGTTTTGTTTATTAATAATTATGGACTTACTTTTAAATAAATTCTGACATATTGCATATCATTTTACTCGGAAATAATTTCTCTTTTGAACAATGGTAAGAACATAATTGATTTTGAAACTTCATAGCAGCAGATTTATTAAATTATTGCATAAGATCCATTATAAAATGTAATTATGAATTTTATTAGGGTTTTTGACTTGCTAAATAATTTTGTATACATATAAAATTTATATCACTTAAAAGAGAACTGCCTCACCTTTCTAATAATGTGTCATTTATTAAAATATTCAAAGAAATAAAGAAGTTATAGTATTTTTTGTGACGGAAGGTGAAATGTTTAATGATGCCCCAAGTTACTCAGTGTACCAGGGGTTGGTTGATAAAAGTTACTCAGTGTTGAAAGAGTTAAACAGAATTATTAATTTTACAAAATTTTATAAACAAATCAAGATTTTGGTCTTAGTCGTAAGTTCTTTTGTAAAACGTTATTAGTTTATTTAGTTATTAGTTTTAAAGGGATATGGTAAGATGCATGCTATGAAAAAGAAAGTGAATTTTTTAGTGAGGTGAAAATTTAGCAAATTTATAAAAAAAAAAAAAATTATTTAATTTTCATCAAGAAGTAATTTCAGTAATTTTATTATACCAAGAATGATATCTATGACAACTGATATGGAATAAATTGTTGATAATATTCTTTTATCTTGCTAATAATGTCAGAATTGAACTCCTGCTAAAAATTCTGCTTATAGTACTGTATATTTTGATCTAATCATAGTATTTTGTTATACACTGTAAATGAAACAAAATTTTCATTCAAAAGTAAATGTTTAAACCCCCCCCCTTTCCCTTTTATCTTTTGAAAGGAAAAGTATATCTGGCTGGTGTCACTTTGGGGGAAAAATACAATTTAAGTACCTTCAGGAATATGAATGATGGGAAACAAGTACAGTTCTATTTCCTCCGAAGTTCTCTATCATGAAAGACAAATTCAACATTCTCATTTAATGAAAATAAATTGATATACATGCTGATATTTGCAAATATCAATGAGCATATTATAATTGAAAAGTATCAATCATTTAGTTACATATTTTCCTGTATTCCATGAAGAATTCAACTCACAACGGCGATGTCATAAGGAAAAAATCAAAATTTTTGACACTGACTACTGAGCAGAACATTTTTTATAACACACATTATGCAGTTTGTCAGCATGGCTGTTTGTGAGAAATAAAATGTTTGCCTGATTTTATTTTGCAGATTCTTCATCAAATTCGTATTTTGGTGTCGGAACTGTGTGAACTGTTTGATATGTCTGCCTCAGATTCCATAAGTCAACTTGACAAGTTCCTACGAGATAGAGTAGGTGTAGAAATGTTTTTTATCTCATAAATTAATATTCCCTCCAATAAAGGAGTTGGAGGAAGAAATGTGTATATCATGGTATAAGGATCTTGACCACTTAATACTGAATGTAGTTATTTAAAGAAAAGAGATATTTAGTAACTTTGGCCTCAAATAAAAGACATTAATTATAAGCTGAAAACAACACTTTGTTTGTATTGTCAGATAGACTAGTACATTATGACCTGTTTTGTTAAGTTTCCCCACTCCTTACATTTTTGTCCTCTATGATCACATTTTTGTCCTCTATGATCAGCTTTTGTCCTCTATGATCAGGGTCTGATGATGGAGGTGAATGAGGAGAGTTCTGATGAGGAAGAAGAAGAAGATGAGGACCATTATGACATGGAGGAAGATGTTCCATCGTAGGTTTAACAACTGCCATAGAGGATTTAAAGTCGACAAACAGTTTATAATTTCGCTCATTCTTTAAAAAAAACATTTACTATTAACAAAAAAACAAAGTGAAAGTCTTTTTACAGAACAAATGACAATTATTAGTTTTTGAAGCTAAAAGAAAGGCACAATCAAAATTTTTTTCCCTGATTAATAGGAGTGAACAGAAAATGAAGGAAGTGGAAGGAATAGACACAGAACAAGTCATGGTGCTAGAGAGGTTACGACAAAACCAGAGGCAGGATTACCTTAAGGTAGGTCACAACACAGATAATCCAACAGAGATAATCCAATGAAGGTTATAATAAAACCAAAGGCAGGATTATCTTAAGGTAGGTCACAACAGAGATAATCCAATAAATGATACAACAAAACCAGAGGCAGGATTACCTTAAGGTAGGTCAAAACACAGATAATCCAATAAATGATACAAAAAACCCAGAGGCAGGATTACCTTAAGGTAGGTCGCAACAGAGATAATCCAATAAAGGATATGACAAAACAGACAGAAAGGTTAAAAATATCAAAATATAACCAAAGTATAAAAGTTTTTAAAAAAGTAGAGTAACTGGTTCAGTCCTTAGTGAGTGTGTTGTATACAGATGTTGATATATTGTAGGGATCTGTAACTGGTTCAGTTCTTAAGGAGTGTGTTGTATACAGATGTTGATATATTGTAGGGATCTGTAACTGGTTCAGTCCTTAAGGAGTGTGTTGTATACAGATGTTGATATATTGTAGGGATCTGTAACTGGTTTAGTCCTTAAGGAGTGTGTTGTATACAGATGTTGATATATTGTAAAGATCTGTAACTGGTTCAGTCCTTAAGGAGTGTGTTGTATACAGATGTTGATATATTGTAAAGATCTGTAACTGGTTCAGTCCTTAAGGAGTGTGTTGTATACAGATGTTGATATATTGTAGGGATCTGTAACTGGTTCAGTCCTTAAGGAGTGTGTTGTATACAGATGTTGATATATTGTAGGGATCTGTAACTGGTTCAGTCCTTAAGGAGTGTGTTGTATACAAATGTTGATATATTGTAAAGATCTGTAACTAGTTCAGTCCTTAAGGAGTGTGTTGTATACAGATGTTGATATATTGTAGGGATCTGTAACTGGTTCTTAAGGAGTGTGTTGTATACAGATGTTGATATATTGTAGGGATCTGTAACTGGTTCAGTCCAGGCCACAGACCGGTTAATGAAGGAACTGAGGGATGTATACAAATCAGAGAGTACCAAAATGGGTGAGTTAGCAGCAGGCAGGCATTATAAACCTTCCCATTTAAAGTCAATGATCAGTGGTCACTCTGACTTAAACTTTTTTATGACCCTGAACATGCTATTGCTATTTTGAATTACTTTTATATGTAAACTACAAACCTTGTTGGTAATGTTATGTTATCTTATTGAAAGCAACCTTAAGAATTGCTCGCAGAAGGCCTGGTTGTCAATGAATTCTTTTTTTAAAATTTACTAGGATATGCGTGTTATGTATTTTAGATCTAATATTTTTGTAGAGGTAAACATATTTCCTCTCTAAAGTGATAATATTGGCTAATTTCTGATTTGTGCTATGTTTAATATTTTAAGGAAGTACTTTCATTATTTTCAATTTCATTTCTATTTCTCTTTGCCAGGTATATTTTCAGTTGATCTAGTCAATGACAGTTTATATGAGTGGAATGTGAAGTTAAAAAAGTAAGCAGTTTTTACTATTTCTTTTATTACTGTACAGCAGGAAATTAACTCGCGGAGGTAATATTCGCTATATTCGCGGAAAAAGAAATTCCGCGAATTCAAAATACAGTGAATAATTCTTGTAAAGATTTATAAGGATAAACTGAAATTTTATTATCATCTATGATTAGATGTAGACTGCCATCATAATTATGAGAGTGTATACAAACACGTAGTTGGTGGTGTTTTGTAAAACATGTAAATTGTTAATTTAATTTCTATGGCTAACGATTCCGGTAGTTTTGCCATCTAGTAGACGTGCAATGTAATTATTTAATTAAACAAACTTGTATAATTTCACCCGTACGTATCGTTCAGTCATAACCTTTAATCA